TCACAAAGTTTCTTGATACTCATAAATAGCATATACTAGACACATGCCTAAGCACTCAGCTGACTGGCATGGAATGGCCTGACTACAAAACCAGGGAACCTATTTCCCATCTGCACATCTGGAGTAGCATGGAGTATTAAACACATCCTGTATATTTCTATGCCCAGTCTAAACTGTGTACTCTGAAAGGAACAGGCTTTAACAGCAGCTGAGAGCACTATCAGAAATTTCTCTCACCACCCCTGCATACATCAAGAATGTTCCACACTGCAGAGGCACAGCCAGTCATTGATATGTGCACCCATACATATGACACAGCTGACATATCAGTAAAAGAAAGGGATCTGATCTGGAGGGAATGTAGCAAGCACCTCTGCCTGCTTGTTCTGGCAGAGAGACCTGTGGAGAAATATCCTGGTACTTCAGGCAGACAGGAAAATAATCAGCATCAGATCTTTCTACGTGGCAAAATGAAGTAGTACCAAGTAACTCCCACGCTGAACCCCTATTCTCAGAAGAACTGAAGAGTTCACCAGAAAAAAGCTAACCGGGTGATAATACAATAAACTCTTCTCATCACCTTTACTGTTTACTCTGTTAGTGACCTCCACTACATTCCCAACCAGCTGGTACTGAGTGACTGTTTTGGTACAGACTCCACCAGAATCCATGTAGGAAGCACCACACATTACAAGAACAAAAATGGAAAACAAAAACATAGAGTACTTACCTATTACTGCACAGAGCTTCACAAACTGACTCAAAACCTTGCCTATGAAAATTAAGATGGTGCTAAATATTAGCTAGATGTTTCATTTGTGTCTCTGCTGACACCATCCTGGCATCATAGGATCTCATGTTTCCTATTTCACTGGAAAATTGTTCCCTTGGGCTAGTTGCATAAAACAACCCCAAACCATGCCATGTACCCCCCAGCTGATAGAAATGTGGCGAGATCTAACCAGGGAAGTTTTGAAGAAAGTGGCAAGAACAGGGATGTAATGCACATGTGAAACTATCTTCAGTCTTTGTGAGAAATAAGCAGAAATGCCAAGTGGATTTGGTCTCCTCAGGCTTATGTCCAGAAGCGAAATGAAGTTACCAAAATTCAGTCTGCTTTAATGGCAGGAAAACAACAGGCTATTGACCCTGTGGCATTAAATGAAGTACCAGGGGCAACAACCACTGTCTTCACATTCTTTCAGTTAAGAAAATTAGGAAAAAAAATATTCACCACAGTTTTTCTCCTTCTGACCTCGCAGTTACCACCCTCTAAAAGGTCTCAGCTGTAATGTTATTTTGTATCCTTACGCTTGATTGCACAGGTGTTGCACAGCAGAATTGTGGTGGGTTGACCCTAGCTGGACACCAGGTGCAGGCCAAGTCACTCTATCACTCCCATCCTCAACAGGACAGTGTGGGATAAAAAAAGATGAACAAAATCCTCATGGATTAAGATAAAGGCAGTTGGATAAAAAAAGGCTGTGCATGGAAACAAATGAAAACACAAGATTTTTTCTCTATTTCCCATCAGCAGGTGATGTCCAGCTATTTCCCGGGAAGCAGGGCTTCAGTGTGTGTACCAGCTGCTTTGGAACACAAACACCATAATAACAAATTACTATATTACAAAAGGCTCTCAAATTATTATATTATAAAAGGCTCTCTCCTCTCTGCACACCCCCCTCTCCAGCCCTTTCTTAAATGTCGTATCTGAGCAGATATCTCACATTACAGAATATCCTCTGGTCAGTGGGTCAGCTGTCGTGGCAGTGTCCCCTCCCAAGATCTTGGCCTCCCAAGATCTTGCCTCCTGGCCAGGGGGAATGTTGGAGAGATAGCCTTGATGCTGTGGAGAGCTACTCAGCAGCAGCCAAAACACTGGAGTGTTACCGACACCCTTCTAGCAACCAATGCAATGCACTGTGAGAGATGCTATGGGAAAATTACCCCACCTCAGCCAGATTCAATAGAAGCATTTAATTCAGCAAGGTAATAAGAGTGAATATTAAAAAAAAAAAAAAAAAGTATTTTCAGCAATTACTTGTTTTACAATATCTACATTTAACGCCTTGGTAAATATTTTCGTTGCAACCTACATGTCAACACAATTACAATTGAGTAATTTTTCTTCATTGGTCCCAGCTCTGTGCAGGATCCTTTGTTTTGCCAACTAAATCAGTGGGAATGTGAAGGAACACATTTAACCCTTGTTAAAAGTCTGGATTCACCTGAAGTTGAGGTGATTCCCCTCAGGTAAAGCTCAACGTAGTTTGGGCACTATTGAAGTACATGCAGTCTAAATTCATAGTTACATAAACACAGGTTTAAAAAAAGTAATGTGATCATAGTAGATGTATACAAATCAGATCACCATGAGTAGAGTAAATTAATTAATACTTAAAATAAAGGGCCATTTAGAAAATAAAATAAAATAAATACAGAAAGACTGTTTCCAAAAGCAACAGATACTTTTAACAAAAAACTGAGACGCTTTGAAATCTCTAGTTATGCTACTAAATGAAATGTAATAAGGAACTAAGATTTATTTTTTTAGTAGCATTTTAAGTAGTAATTGTTAGCTACAACATTCAGTGTATATAGAGCATTTTTCATCTGCTACTAATTAGAAAGGAAAATCTGAAGAATGACTTGGAAAATCATAACCTAGGTATTAGCATACGATCAATGAGAGTAAGAATTGAATAAGTTTATGAAAGACAGGGAATTTGTCTAATAGAAGCAGCTGATAGCATTGTGAAGTTTGCTAAAAGGTACAGACAAGCTGCCATTCCAAATTTAGAGGCAGTAGGAAAATGAAGAAGTTCCACTGAGTGTAGAACAGTACATCACATATTCTCAGACCCCCTGAAGAATATGAAACAAGGGGGAGCCTATTACCTGAATTTTAAGAGATTTTCTGTAGTGATTAAAAAAAAAAATCAAGCTGTGGAAACCAACAGAGCTTTTGGGGGAGGGGTGTGATTTCAGGCTTGTAGGTACCTAGGTGTGTAGTAATACCAAAGAAATGTGTTAACTAATCTGCTGTATGCAGTAATTTACCACTGAGGGGTTACACGCAGCCCACAGAGCTAGGAAAAAAGCCAGAATTGAAATCTAGAGGCAAAACTTAGATTGTTACATGGAATCTGAAAATCACTTCCACTGCAAGTACACTCCAAAACAATGACAGCAGCAGAGGCTCAAAGCATCACTCAAAAAATGCAAAACACTATTCTTTAGGACCTCGTAAAACTTCTGAGATAAAGATTTTATCAGAAGAACATGTATGAATTAAAATAGTTTTTATTAGAAAGTTCAATTCAAGTGAAAGGTATTTTTATTGGTTGCCTGCCAAGCCCCAGAGACCTCAGAAATACATGTTTTCTCTCACAAGCTTGCAAACACACTTTTCATGCCCTTGGCAAAGTATTTCTCAATCTTTCTAAACCTTGCTAGACAGGCTCACAGAATCACAGAATATACTGAGTTGGAATGGACCTGCAAGGATGCGTCTTAAATGAATGACCTATATGGAGATCAAACCCACATTAAAACCTTGGTATTATTAGCATCATGCTCTAACAAACTGAGCTAAACTCAGTCTTGACAAAAAAAAATTGTATCACTATGCTCATGTATGACCCCAGATTATCTTTTTTTTGTCTTTTTAAATACACACTCCCCTTTATTAGCTTTCCTTGTTTTACCCTTCGATCATGTTTTTCCTCAGTTATGCTCCTGCCCAGTAAATAGATTTATCCTGGTCTTCTATTAATGTAAGGTTTCAGTGAAGCCTATAGTACATGCATACACATATATTCAGAATTATGTTGCTTGCTCACCTTCCTACTTGTTTCCCCACTCCATTCTGAAGCACCACCCTTTCAGACTATTATCACTTTCCACACATCAAGATGTATCGCCCCTCACCTCTTAAATTATAGCTTAGCTAAGGCTATGGAATTACTTGACTGCTTTTAAAGCAAAAAGAGAATCACAGAATTGTTAGGGTTGGAAGGGACCTCTGGAGATCATCTGGTCCAATGCCCCTGCTGAGGCAAGGGTCACCTGGAGCAGGTGACACAGGAATGTGTCCAGGTGGGTTTTTCATCTCCAGACAGACGAAACTTCATTACCTCCCTGGGCAGCCTGTTCCAGTGCTCTGCCACTCCCAAGGTAAAGAAGTTCTTGTCAAGGTGGAACCTCTTGTTTTGGTTAATGGCCATTATTCCTCGTGCTGTTGCTGGGCACAACCAAAACGGGTCTGGCTCCATGCTCTGACACCTGCCTTTGAGATATTTATATGCACTGATGAGACCCTCCCAGTCTTCTCTTTTTCTAGACCAAACAGGCCCAGCTCCTGCAGTCTCTCCTAAAGAGAGATGCTCCAGACCCCCCATCATCTTTGTGGCCTCCACTGGACCCTCTCCAGTAGCTCCTTGTCTTTCTTGTCCCGAGGAGCCCAGAACTGCACCCAGCACTCCAGATGTGCCTCACCAGGGCTGAGCAGCGGGGCAGGATCTCCCGTCTCGGCCTGCTGGCTATAGTTCCTTGTGCACCCCCAGGATAACACCGGCTTTCCGGGCCACAAGGGCACTGCCGGGTGATAGTCAGCCTTTGATTCACTCAGAAGCTGATGCTTCACCTCATTAATTTTTTTCCAGTAACTACGCACTGCTTCTTTTGCAGCTGCATCACGTAAACATTTAGGTTACAGGGGAACCTTTTTCCCTTAAGATCTCAAAGCGCTCCGCAGCAGAGGGGCTCCAAGAGGCTGTGGGGCCGAGCGCTGTCCCGCTCCCGGCCTGTCCGGGACACACTCCCGGAAATGCACTCGGGAAAAGGAGCCCATTTCCCGTCCTCGCCCGGCGCTTCCGGGTCGCGCGCCGGGTTCCGCTAGAGGCGGCGGGGCGGGAGCTGCGGGGCGGGCGGCGGTTCCCGTCCTCCTGCTCCTCCTCATCTTCATCTTCCTCCTGCTCGTCCTGGTGCCGTGGTGGCCGCCGCGGGCTGTGCCGGGTGAGCGGGGCCGGGCAGGGCGCGCCGCCGCCGGCCGTGCGGGTGCCCGCGGGCGGGGAAGGGGAGGCCGCGGGGCCCGGGGCTGCTGTGCCGGCGGCGCTCCGGCTGCAAGGTCTCTTCCTCTGACAGTGTAGGTTTGTCACCCCCGACGCCCATTGCCAAACAAAACAAAAAAACCCCAAGTGTCTTAGCCGAAAATTCGCAGTGGTTCTTCTGCTGTCCGTGTGTCCCGTCCCTGCTCTTGGAAAGCATCCGCATGGTCCCAGCGAAAAATTGCTGGGATTTTATGAAACCGCCCTAAAGACGCGGCGTCTGTTATTGCTGGCTTGCTTTTCCTCTCGGGGATGTGTGTTAACTCTTTTGTGTGTGTGTGGAATAGCGTGGCCTCGGCCAAGGTGAGTTTGACTTGTCACGGCTCAGCTGTGTAGGGCGATGGAGCGGCACAGGCAGCACACGGTGATGATCACTTTCTTCCTTCTTTAGTGGGACAAACATGGTACCCTGTTAAGTACTTTAATTCGTATTTGTTTTGAAACCAGCCGCTCGTTTTGGGTCAGCTAAAAGTAGTGTGGTCTGACACACAGGAGGCCCTAGGCTTCTGCCAATTGTGTTCTGGCTAATGCCCAGCACACCCAGACCTGGGAAGAGTAACACATCGCAAACTGGTGAAAGAGCCTCAGAGCCTTTCTGGAGTAATTACCAGACTCTGTTAAACAGAAATTAATGAAAGAATTAGTTTTGCTTAAATGCAAGAAATGCTTGTATACTTCTAGCAACAAAGCTTATTTTCTTGTATCATCTTAAAAGTTGATACAATTGTACACAAAGCCTTTTAAATTTGTGTTTAAATTTATGTGGCAAAGTAAAAACGTAACATCGTATTTTTTCCTGTGAATTGTAAACATTTCAAGTATCTCTAATGTTTTAACTTTTTTTGCAGATTAATAAACTCACTGAAGCATTGTTAAGGAGCTAGAAGGGGAGTGAAAGGAGATTTAATTATTTAGGTATTTTCATTTTAGAAACATGGGATTACTCTGGGTCTTTTTTTAAAAGTTGTAGGCATTCAGCTGGTCATAAGAACTAATCTCGGTATTTGAGTATTTCCTCTTTTCTGATGGTAACACTTGACAAAAATATTCAAAATGGCTTGTTCTCATCTTGTTTTAGCTTTTTCCTATTAATTGCTTTAAATTAGTCTGTGGATTTTAATAAATATTTTGACTGTAATCTTGTAATTTAGATTCCGTGGCTTTTCTCTTGATTGTCCAGCTTGAACTAGCACTGCAGAAGTGTGGTATGCTAATGCAAGTCATTGGTATGAAAGATGATTTTTTATCTCTTCTATAATCTAAGAGTTTTACAACTACTCTTGTGGTGCTTATTTTTACAACTTCAACATTTTCTCCAGGTTTAAGTTTGTTTTATCATACAAGTTCCTCACTGCCATAATGAGGCTAGTAATTCTTGAAGATTATGATCAGGCTAGTGAATGGGCAGCCAAATACATCTGTAATCGTATTATCCAGTTCAAGCCAAGTCAAGGAAGATATTTCACGCTTGGTCTACCAACAGGCAAGTTTTATTCAGTCTTTGTAAATAACTATGCCTAGAACAATGTTTGTATCACTGCTAGCAGATGTAGTATTTAAAAGAACATAAGTATTATTTTTGATAATTAACTATTTTTAAAATATGGATTTGATTTCTGTGAAGAGTTGTGATAGTTTGAGAAACTGATAAATACGAAATGGAAAACAGCAGATTGCTTCTATGTTAAAAAGCATTGTAGCAAAATTTGACTGTGAAGAATTTAAATACACTGATAATGTGCAGACACACAGAACAAAAACTTTATTTAACAGGGAGTACACCTTTGGGATGCTACAAAAAGCTGATAGAGTATCACAAAAACGGAGATCTCTCTTTCAAATATGTAAAGACTTTCAACATGGATGAGTATGTAGGTAAGATGTGCTATTATTTGAGAACATACTGTACTTTTTTTCTCCTTATAAAAACTATTAAAAACTTTGTCAAAGTATCAGGTTAGTCTAGAATGTTTTTACTCATATAAGCATTTTTCTCTATTCCTTTATCTACAAAAATGCAAAAATAAACACTGGGCTAAATTCAGTGCTTTACAGTACTTCTGTAGAAATTTTATTGTCATGTAATATTGGGACTGTATTTCTGTTGAAGACTTTACACTCTGGGATAAGATGTATGTGGGGGGAATGTAAACCAGCTACTTTGTATGTGCCAACAGGAAACCTTTCTTCTCAATGTAGTTTCAAATCTTTCTTTATTTGACTCAGGTTTGCCTTGCATGCCTTGCATCAGCTAAACACAGACTAGAATTTAGGCTGTTTGGTTAAATCTTGTCATATGGTAATTTCACTCTAAATGATTTCAGGGCTTCCCAGAAATCATCCAGAGAGCTATCACTCCTATATGTGGAATAACTTCTTTAAGCATATTGACATAGATCCGAATAATGCTCATATCCTTGATGGGAATGCACCAGACTTACAGGCAGAATGTGATGCATTTGAAAAGAAAATTGAAGAAGCAGGGGGGATTGATCTGTTTGTTGGAGGTATGAGGAAATGCTCTATGGTTAGTTACAATTCAAGCATGCACACTAATTCTTTAATCGCTGTTTTTGTAACTTGACTAAAACCCAGATCTTTCAATTATTGTGTAAGAAAGTTCTGTGACTAACAAAGAATCAGTATAAATTCCAAAACAGAATGGTTGGTGTCCAAGTTTCTAATGACTTAAGTAAGTTTTTATTGAAAATGGGGAACCAAAAGGAAAGGATGAGCCCTTTTTAATTTATTTACAATGTTTGAGGATATGTGTTAACTCTCAGGTCTGGAATGATATATTTTTTTTAACTTTGAAAAGGCATTGGTCCAGATGGCCACATTGCATTCAATGAACCCGGATCAAGTTTGTCTTCAAGAACAAGATTAAAGACTTTAGCAATGGACACCATTTTGGCAAATGCTAAATACTTTGATGGAGACTTATCTAAAGTACCAACTATGGCGCTAACAGTTGGTGTGGGTACAGTGATGGATGCTAGAGAAGTAAGAAATCATTTAGTTCTAGTTGCATGTGTGTTTTCAAGATTAGTTGGTATTGATACTGGGATTGAAAGTAAAGAGACCTTTGTTTTGCAGGTGATGATTCTTATAACAGGTGCACACAAGGCTTTTGCATTGTACAAAGCAATTGAAGAAGGAGTCAATCATATGTGGACAGTTTCTGCTTTCCAGCAACACCCTCGCACTATCTTTGTGTGTGATGAAGATGCTACTTTAGAACTAAGAGTTAAAACTGTGAAGTACTTTAAAGGTGAGCACTGAATCAGGGGTCATGTGTTTACGCAGAACCAACAGATTTGAAATTATATTGATTTAAATCTGAGCCTTCCAACACTTTGCAGTCAGTAATGTATAATATTATATAGTCAAAATATTAAATATTAACTTATGTCTTGTGTTTGGAAAATGGCCGAGAGGCATAACTTGTGCTACCTACATTCCAAACACATCTACTTGGGAAGAGTATTTCCTTTGCTTCCAGTTTGAAACAATGGTTTAGTAATCTTTAACTTCAAACAGCAGCAATCTGGTATTCCACAATACAGGTCTTAAGTATACTGGAAAGTTTAGCTTAAAAGAATCTTACTACATTTATTAATCCTGACACATTTCCATGCTGCTTTTGCTATGTGCTGTAATGTGATGTCTAGTAAACTGTGATACAGACTTTGAAGCAACCTGAGGACATTTTTCATGTGCAATTAGTGTAACAATCCATACTGCCTTTGAAAACATTCCACCCTTTTACTGTGTGTGTTTTTCATATTTGTAGTTGCTATATTGAGGCAAACTTAAAGTAAGTCGGGATATTTAATAGTAATTGAAACTTCCTAGGCTGAATTCCACTTCACTGAGACAGTAGAAGCTGAGAAAAGTAATTTTCTCCTGACTGTATTAGCACAGCACCTGCAATTGTGTGACTCAGTTGTCTTTCTCACTTGCATGGGTACTTGTAGTAGCTGAGGTATCAGAGATCAAGATTGTAATTTATCAAGCTCTTTTTTAGAGCATTATATCACCAGTGCTCATATATGTATTAGACTGCAATTCAAACATTTCTGTGATTTTTTTGTCCTGATACCTCTTGCGGCCAGCTTGTTAATTTTGCTATGTATTTGTGGGGTAGGAGGGAGGGTTAGTTTTTTCCTGTATCACACTGCTAGATAGTACTTACTGTTATTTTCAAATAGAAACTTCTCTAACTGCTTGGATAAGTTTTAAACATTATCCTGTATTTTATATAAGCAGAGGCTTTGCTTGGGAAATACACACCTAATATAGAATCAATAGGTATGACACTGAACATTGCTTTAAAAAATATCAAGGGCTACAGTTTATGAATGTCTGCTATTGTGTCACTGTATTTAATTACCCTGCAATACACAGCAATAGAACTTTTTAAAAGATGGTTTACTCTAAACTTACTTAATTTTACCTACTTTAAAATCAGTGAGTTTTTTTCCCCCTTATAAGATGGAGGATAAATCAGTGTGGGTCAAATTTAGAATTATTTCTGAATCTTCAGGTTAGACTTCTTAGGGAAGCTAGGTAGTTCTTAATACTGCTATTTATGGTAGTGATTTCACTTAAAACTTGCAATATGAAACTGCATTTCTTTTTGTTTGTTTGTTTTATAATCAAATACCACACTAGCTGGTAAATAGTTTAACCTATTACATTTTTTCTAACTTTCTAAAAACCTATAATAGGCTAAAATTATCAAGTGTGTTTATGGCCTTACTAAAAAAGGGAAAATAAAGGAAAAAGAGAAATGAAGAATGAAACAGATAATCAATTTTGAATTTACTAATTTATCTGCAGATAAGTTAGTTCAGGATAATATTTTCCATATTTATGCATGGTCTTCTTAAAACTGTGTGCAAAAATATGTTTATTCAAAGCATACTTGAATATACAGTGGGACTTTCCTTTGAAATAATTGTTTTGGCATCTACCAAGTCTGGTGCATTCCTTTTAAAAAAATCTTTTGTTTCTCACTGTTTTTCCTGTAACACTCTCACTAACAGGATTTAAATATTCTTCATTAAGTATGACAGAAGCAATATTTTGTAACCATTTTTCATGCATCTAGGAAGTGGGTAATTATTTCCTTTTCGTTTCCCCTTTTTAGAAGAGGAAAATATTGGTAGGAAATTTAATGTTTTAAAGCTCAAAACGTGTTTCTAGTTTGCGTAGTGTATGCAGCTGTTACTCTTTCTGGACAAATTACTTTTATGTCAAATGTATACTTAAGTTTTTGTCACTGTTAAAAGTGAAAAAATATTTGACTTGATCTAACATCTGTATTTTATATTAAATAATCACATAGTGATTAGTAATAGATGCTGCATAAGATGCCTTTTTTTATGGTCACCTACAGTAATGACCTTAGATTGTATAGTTATTTCAAATTTCATGTTGCTGCAGTGAGATAAGGTTGCCACCAGCTGCATCATGTGGCAAAGATATTTGAATATTCTTTGCCATAGATTATTGCTAAAATATGCAGTACTGTGAGATTTCTTTCATGGTTTTTAAGAAAATTACTTTTAGTGTTGCATATTTTAATTTTAGAGGCTAAATCTTTTAGTTCATTGCTAAAATGTTCTTTTACTTTGTGGATTGTGAACACCGATCATTACTGTTATTAATCCTCAAGGTGAAATGAGGTTAAAATCCTGCCAGTGATCCAATGTCATACATACCTAGATGTAGGTAACATTCTTACTAAGTTATAGCAAAGTTAAGAAGGAAGCATCTTTTTTTATTAATTGCAATTCAGCATTTTCCATAATTAAAGAAGTTGGAGAGGAAAAAATTAACTCCCCTAATCATAGCTATGGAGGACTTGTATATGACAAGAAAAAACCCAGCTAGAATAGAAAACAGTTGAACTGCTGAAATTGAGTCTGCACTAAGAGTCTGGATTATTTAATTTGATTTTGCCTGCCCAGGACCACAAGTGCATGATTATTATTACAAAGACAGTATTACCACAATGCTAGAACACTGCGAAAGAACTCAAGCTGTAAAAGTCTCACAAAGTGTGCATCTGATTTTTATGGCAAATTGTGGTGTGAGGAAATTACATTGCTGTTACACAGTTTTTAATACACCAAAAAAAAAAAAAAAGTATTCAGTTCATTTGGAAGTATTCCAGATGTGCTTTTTGGGTCTGTTATCAGAGGTCTGGTCCCTTCTCAGCTGATACTGATTATGTCATTAGTACACAAGTGATACAGGAATATATCTGCTGTCTCTGACTCTGAACTACTTTAAATAGCCATTGTTGTTCCCTTCAATGAACTATTTAAAATGTGTACTTTGAAGCAAATTCCAAATAAAAATGTGGATAGAAGGACATGTTAACAAAGTATAACTAATGTAAAGCTGGCATTGTTGCTTTCCCCCCAAGGTTTAATGCATGTGCACAATAAGCTTGTGGACCCACTGTACAGTATGAAAGAAAACTGAAAGAAGACTGAAGAGGAACTCCATGTGGGTCAGCAGCAACAGTTTTAGGTAGCAGATGAGTTCACTGCTATGCAATATGCTGAAAACTGTTTAAAATGGGAAATCCTAGGTACTGTATTTTTAAAAAGGTCCAATATCTGTACATTCACATTCCATCTGTTTGCTGTGTTGTGCATTTTGTTTTAACATTTGAAGCTCTGCTGTTGGCTGGTACATAACTAAATGGAACAGAACGAACTTGGGAGAGACTGCATGTTATGTAGAGAGGGGAAAAGCAGAGCATTTACTCTAGCACAGCAATGTATTGCATCTGCCTCATGTTAAAGATGATGACACTTCATTTCCCAGAATTCTTAATTTTTGGCTTGGTTAGTGTAACTACATTTTGCATTTGTGTCTCTAGGCAGAATGGTTTTGGCCTTTGTTAATACTATGGACTTGTAAGAGTTGTACAATTTCTACTATGAAATGTTCTGTTTACATATATCTAATGTACACTGAGCTTTTGCACTTGGTTGCCTTAAATTTGTCTTAAACAGTTTTTGGGCATCTCAAGTCCTGCTGTATATTTCGGGCAAATGAAGATACAAAAAACAGTGCCTAAAAATGCACCAAATTCTTCGAAGTTACAAGTTGCTCCATGGATAAAAATATTAAACTTCTACAATAGCACTTTTTCCTCTCGTGTACTTCAAAATACTTTAGGACTTTTGTATTTTTGGTAATCAAGCTTTATACATAAGGATAAATCTCAGTGTTCCTTCCTGGAGGTACCCAGTCAATTATATAACTGATGTTACAATTAAATGCCTGAAAAGAGGTTAATTTACAGGACTATGATGTCTGCAAATGATCATTTAAAGCCAACTGTTAATCACTTTTTCATTGGATCATTATGAACATTGAGCTGTTACAAGGAATGTTATTTCCTACTTTGAATATAAGTAAAACTTAAATATAAATCTCTTGATTTCAAAATTGTTTCATTTCAAATATAAGTTGTCATGAGGAAATCGTTCAGAATTTCAGGGACTGATTAGGCACCAGAAGAGAAAGAGAAGAATTTACTGATGAAGACTTCTTTTGGAAAAGCCCTTGTATAAAATACTCACTGCAAAAAGTGCAACTAAGTGTAACTTCAACAATTTTACTTTTCACATAAATGACAGGCATGTAGTCTTTATTACAAAATCACATCATCTCCCCAGGGATGTGGCAGAGTCTCATCTAAGCTCACCTTTCTCATAAATGAGCTTACAGGGTCCTTTCTAATCTGGACTGTTCTCTGATTCTGTGAAATTACAAAAGCATGGAAGAATCTATCCATAGCAGTGTTTAAGCCAGGCCTAGTGTTTCAATTCTCAACAGTACATTGATCTTCCACACATTTAAAACAGGCATTCAGCTTTAAGGCTCAGTTTATGCACATGTATTTTTGAAGCATAATGCAACATTATGGGGAAAAAAGTTGAAAAGACTGCCTTTCAGGAGAATGTAATAATGATTCAAAATGCAATGTTAGGTTTGTCATTAGCCTTTACAGCTAAGCAAGTTTATAAACAATTGTATAACTAAAAGCAGTAATGACTTTAGGTTAGCATTAAAGGAATTGAATTGTGTTTTTATCTTGATGATCATCCTTCACATGGCAAAATGGAGAATTCTATTGAAACAATATTCATGTTCTTTATTCCAGCACATTTTTCAGTCATGTGCCTCGTTTGACAACCTTACCTGCTAAAGCCCTTTATGTTCTCAAGATGTGTGAGATCACAGAATTAGTATCTTTCCTCCCTTTTTAACTACTCGACTTTCTGTGAAACAAAGGTCACTTTAGTACAGCAGAACCTGTCTGTCTTTGAGTGGGTCTGGGACTGTTTCTGCCTCTTTAATGAACCTGAATGCATTTTTTTTTTGCTGTTCTCCAGCTTGTTTCTCTTGTTACGCTATTTTTATTTAAACTATGAGTGCTATAGGATGTAGCAAGTCAACCCTTTAAGCTGCATAAAATTGAACCTGTTACACTGCAGTAATGGTAAAGCAAGTATTTTCAAGTTCAGTAGGTCCTAAGAGTAAATTCAAACTCAGCCTAGCACATCAAGATTACCATTTTATTCTTTTTCTCATTCTAAGGTATGTTCAAAGGAAAGGGGGAAAAGAAAAAGTAACTACATAGAATCAGGTACTTTTGTATAAAAAACTAGTACTTCATGTGCTGTACAAGTACTAACCAGTTCATTTAAAGTTCTTGCTCTCAAAACTGATATACAAGTCCTCTCAGAATTAAGACTACAATTTATATTTTTTTTTTGCCTCAGGTGACTATAGTAAAATTAAAACAGATTCTCAAGGCAGCTTTATGCATCTGTGTAACTCAATTAGGTAACATACACTTGATGTGTCACTCAGTAAGGATATGATTTACTGTTTGAATAATCTCTAGCTTACCTTTAGCTTCTGCCTTATTCCTCAGTACAGAACCAGTGCTTTCTTATAGTTCTAGTTCAAGGAGTGGGGAGGACCTCATTTCAGCTCCTTTGCTCCTAGTATGTATCTCTGCATCCGTAGTTCCTTAAATGCTACCTTTTTACAGGGGAGAGATAATAAATATGTTGGAGAGCCTTTATCCACAGCATCCTTCCTTCAGGGTCAGTAGCAGCAGCTTAGGTACCTTTATTAGATGTACAGATACCTAGCTCACATCTAGATCTTTGGTTTTTCAGTGCACCTGAAACAGCTTCAAATTAAAACAACAACAACAAAAAAAACCACGAATCAATCACCAAACAGAAAAACCAAATAGAAAAAAGCCACAACAAACCATTAAAGTATCAGAATTCCCCCTTTTTCTGTGCTCTGAAACGAGTAGAGGTTGAAAGGGAACATGTCCTGAACATATCCTGTTCAATTCCATCCCTCCAAAGATTTTCCCAATTCCTCCTCGTATGCAGGCTGAAACAAAACAACTAGCTTATGATTAATGTGTAGGTACAAGCCAAAATTTAAGGGCAAAATCTCCTGGTGATTGAGTACTTTAGTAGGTATGACTAGCAATTTGTTCTCTAAATATATTTAATAACAAGAAAATTAACTTATGTTTATAATTGCTTTGTGTACAGGTCCAAAAGTAACACCTTATGTTACGCACACTACTAAAGCATTTTACCGAGGACGCACTGACAAACTTTAGTATGCAAACAATATAAATAAAATTTCACCAAATACACCAAGACATGCTGTAACCAAACTTTCGTGTTAAATAATTTTTTAAGACCTGAATTGGTCTTACTAGTGGAACAGTTACAGATCCTGTATTTTGATATATTAAAATTTATCATTTGCCCAGAGGTGAGCATAGCTATGATGAACTAATGGTAAACTTACACACTTCAACCAGTGTAAAATAAACAGTGTGGTAAATTTAAAAAGTTTTGATTTTTTCATCTGACATGATTTCCCATCATCACAATTTCCTGACAACAGCAACTTTGGAGAAAGTAAAACAGGAAACAGCTTGATACTTTTGTGCCAACAGTTCAAACTTTAAAAGAAAAAACCAAACCAACACAACATTGTTTGTCTATACATACCTTTAAATTATTTTTATAACCTTTCTGCCATATAGTTCCTCTCATATAGACTTGCAATGCAAAAAAACCCAAGCTATGTTAATTTTAGTGTTAAAAGTATGAAAACAGTGAAATAAAATGAAAAACAATACAATGTGAGCTTTTAGATGCAGTCATGTAACTTTAATTTCATAATAATCTACAAATATATTTTTGTATATATGTACATTTTTAAGTTCTTTCAATTCATCTTCCCATACACACTAAATTCATTTAAAGTCAAGTATGTTCCCTCTCACAGTGATAAATCATATATTAGCTCACGTGGCTACTGTCTGCAAAAAGCTGCCGTGATAGGAATGATCAGATGTCACTGATCTCTATTTGTCAGTTTCTCTCTTTAGAACACGTATAAAGGCATCTCTTGGAACCTCAACATTGCCAATCTTTCTCATCAACCTCTTGCCTTCTGCTTGCCTCTTTAAAAGCTTCATTCTTCTTGTAATGTCTCCACCATACTGTGAAAAAAAAAAAAAATTACTAAACTAACTATACTACAGCTGCAGCTACAGTACATTCCAGCAGCACAAAACTCAACGGTTCAAAAACAGTCAGAAAAGCCTGTTATATCTTGACAAAAAGATTATTTTATACTTCAAATAATTTGGCCTAAAGGCCACTAGTTAAAAAGAACAAGGAAGCAAACAAGCACATTCATTTGGACAACTGAGTGTCGAACTCTGTCACCTAAATATATACATTCCTGTAAGTCTTGCTGACACTAGACAACACATGAGATCCAAATCCCCTTGGAAGAGCAGCAGGATGCCAGCCAGCTCAGATACACTGAGACATCTTGACTAGTGCTTAGTGATTAGGTGCTTAAATCTAGAAAAACAAACTAAACCCTTGTACAGTGTTGAACAGACACCATCCCACAGCTGTGCCTAGGAGAAGAATTATATTGCAGTTGTGAGAAAGGGACACTTGTTTAATATTTTCCAATATGTTCACTTGAGAGAGTCAAATCCAAGCTAAATAAGAGGCATCACAGTTTTCCAATAGCTTTGTTGAGTCTTGTCCATAGTCAACTATTGTGCAATAAAGCTTTATTACAATGTATAACTGCAAACCTAAGTAGAAGTCTAATCACAATAAAGTCTCTAAAGAAGCACATTTATATTTCCTTCTATAACCTGAAAACCAATTCAGGAAGCATGAAGGAAACTTGAAATCTATATGCCTGTGTACAGACACACACATTTACTGTGTGTCTACAACTATTAAAAAATGATGAAGAGATGGGAGTGAACAGACACTGAAAAAGCCATTTATCTGGTCCATTCTTCAAGCTGCAGCAAGAGGTTACAAGCTTATTGTATTAAAAAGTAAAAAGTATCTGTTAAAATTCCACCGACACTTAGGAGCACAAGCAGAACATGTCTTTCCTGGGTTTCTAGGAAGAAATTGGCCTATCATCTTAGCATGACTGTAAGGTTTAAAAATGTCAGAAACATGAAGAAAAGAGAAAAAAATACCTACACATTTTGCCACAACATTTTTTCTGTAAGCTTTCAGCCTGCAAAATAAAGTAACACATACACCTTAACATATTAGAATATCTGCATGTGAAGCTAAGTACTTGAGTTGTCAAAATGTTACTGGCTTTTTTACTAGTTTTGTAAGGTACTTTGGCATAATATTTTCAGGTTTCGTATAAAAAGATGGAAGTTTTAAACAGAAGATGTAATCCACAGTTTTCAGTTCTAGAAACATCCCTTAGGATGTATAATATGTACACAAAGAAATCTCAATCTTGCCTTTTTATCTGGAATTTCTGCTATGACTCACAGGAAGTGTAACATCCATGTGTATATACACATATAAACAAATTCTTACAGCACCTCTGCTTGAATTCTGACTTTTAATTATTTTACCACAATTTAAATCCTATTTAAACAGCAAGAGAAAAATGTGATGAGAAACATCAAGGAAATGGTTTGCTTTAAAGAAGCGTGTGCTAGGAAAATGTTTTTGTGTTCAGCTGCAACATATTTCCTTTGGAAGAGCACACATCAGTTATTTTTTTGCTGACTCTCACAGCAAAGTATTCCACAACTAACTGATTTTTTCATTAGTAAGAAACTTTCCACTGCCGAAGAGGAAGTGGACAATGGGTGTTGCAAGTTACACTTTATCCACTAAGTGCAATTCTGACCACAAGCAATCTAAAATAAAAAATAATTATTTTTTTATAGATTTAATTCAAAATTAGTCACTGCTCGAATGTGGTGTATTTTCTTCAAGTAGCATATACAAGAAAAATACAACTTTATAGCAAAATCAAAGCCCTGTGATGTATAAAACCAGGTAAGAATTTAGAAGTCTATATTTTACATATCTTAAAATATGGACAGAAAAAAAAAAGGGGGGAATAGAAGGGCTTTACTTACGTTTCTCTGGCAATGATTTTCTTGCCAATGGCAGCCTGGATGGCTATTTCAAACAACTGTCTAGGAATAGTCTCTTTTAAACGTTCACACAGGAGTTTACCAGCAGCATATGCTTTATCCCTGAAAAAAAAAGGTCAGCAACAATAAAAATACATCCACAGATCAAACTGTTTGATTGAAGGACTTGAGTAGAGGTTTTCCTCTTCTTAACTCAGAAGATAAGCTGATGAGATAAAATCTTATATCTACTAAGTGGTCTCTGTATGTCACCAGTTTCATACTAACAGGTGATTGTATTAACCTCAGTATATATCATATGAAATATTTATAAAAAACACTCTGACTATCCATCACTGAAGACATTTTGAATACTGCCACAGCTTCAAGTGAAATTTTAAACTAGATCAAGGAGAATTTTCATTGATCGTAGGCCCAAGCAGTCAAAATATACATATTACAGAATGCTTTCAAAGTCTGGTTTTATATCACAAGAAAAAAATAAACTGACATACTCTTGTCTCTCCTAATAAAAATTATCCAGCTATACTCAGCATCTGCATATGCTTCAGGTTTTGGAAAGAGAAAACAACAAAAGGTCTAAAGAAGCTACTAACAGACACTTTCATAAGCCGTTAGAAAGGAATGGGTCTATTCTCTACCAAAATACCCTTACTGAGCAGACATTTTTTACCAACATCCATGTTTTCAGGTATTGAAAATGTGACTCCTTGCTACCTGTATACAGTTTAAACATGAAATACTTAAGTCATGTTCATTGAGTGTTACAGTTTGAAGAGGTACATATATTTACTTGTACATTAAAAACAAATTATGACTGTATTAATACTGAGCTTACAGTAATCTCTGTAATGCTTTCTCTATAAATGTAATTCACCATAATTCTTACAGATGCAGTTTTTACAGTGGGAAGGCCGAGAATACCTTCAGCAAGAGCAGAATGAATGCAACTACAAGTTTAAAAAAAAACCCAACTGAAATCTAAAGCAAAAAGAAAGGTTGTCAGTTTCAGTGAGTTAAAAAGTTGAGGGTACAGGCTAAATTGATCAAAAAATACATGTTAAAGCAATAATTAACTTTTGCAAGGTGGCCCACTCAATTTTGCATCTTTTCAGAGTAGGAGATGCAGGTAGATAGCTAAACACTGCAGGCTTATGAGAAATGCATTAACTAGCAATTGTAGGCAAGACAGTTACTCCCCTTCAGCCCCGTGGTCCTACTGAACAAGGCAAGGGATTTATTTTCCTATGTCAGCCTTCTGCAGTTACAGAATTCCATGGATTTCAATACTGCAGTTTTGTAAAAGAAAGATGAAAATACACAAATATTTAGCAACTACAAATGAGTATTTTAAGAAGGAAAACCAAACAACCCACAGAAGTTAATCTAGGCATTACTGGAAAGGGATGGTGAAGTTACAGAAGAGAGCCTGGTAAAAACTTTGTGAGAAGATAGGGGAAAGTCTGGAAAAACGAAAGGCTTTATTCTCACCTCTAATGCCTGAGATACTCTTAGAAATTGAATCGTTTTACAAAATAAAGTCTGAGGTAATTGTATCCAGTAAATATTTACATTCTCCTGGTACTCTGTCTGGAAACAAAGTAACAACAAACTTCTATGGAACAGGAATTACTGGGAGAACAAAATAGTTTTTTGTCAGTATTTAGCACCATAAATTATTAATCTGACATCTCCTAGATTAGTCTGTAGTTTAATTTTTTCAGCCCTTCAGAAGATTAGCGTTTTACATTTACTTCTCTTTGCTCTTATCACAAATATACGATATCCAGTACTTAAGCTGAGTAAGGGAAGTAAAAAATTGCTATTAATTATGGTATGTATTTCCTAATTTTCATACTACGAAATGCTTCTCTTTTTCAGTGGTAATAAAGGTGGTCATATGGAAAAATCTTCAATGCTCATACACATTTGTCATATTAAGAGTAACACATATACCTAGAGTCATTTAGAATCATATAATCATTTAGGTCAGAAAAGACCTTAAGATCATCAAGTCCTATTAACAGACAATGTTTTCATTGACTAATAATAGGAAGTCTTATTTATTTTGTATAAGAAATCCAGTCAACCTACTTGTGTATGATAGTTGCCAGTTCTTCAACTGGATTTCCATTCACAAGAATATCCATTTTGATTAGGTCTGCTGATTGGTAACCTGCATCTTCATAATCAAAACTAAAAAAATAAAAGTAGTTAAAAAAATTAGTCATGATATTGTACTAATTATATTTTGCATTCTTTATTCCATAGATACATTTCTTAATAAAACACCTGAACTTTTTAATAAAATGGGAGTAGTTTTTAATAGTGTGTCAGTGTATCTTCAGACGAGAAACCAATGCAGAAAGATGTCATGTTGACTTTGAGAATGTCTTTCCAATCTAATGAGCAATTAGAAATCTACATGCTCAATGCAATCTTAAAAAACCCATCAACACAGCTTTTGAACAATGTCCTGAATGTCACAGGAATCAAACACTAACCTAGGACTGTCTTCTTTTTACCCTCTCATTTAACAAACTTTTTATGTGACCCCTATTATCACTGTCTCTGACAACTAAGTTTTTCACTTAGTTTCCAAAGCAGATTTCTTCTTTGGTAGGTGCAGGCCTTGCTGTCTGTGTGTTAGTTTGCAAAAAATTCTTAAAATGCAAGAGATGCAGAGGTGATGTATGCACTAGACAGATGATAGAGAGATGGATAGATAGATAGATAGATAGATAGATAGATAGATAGATAGATAGATAGATAGACAGACAGACAGATCGATCAATCTTGTGTGTAAGTATAATTGTGGAGGATTATCAAAATCACTTTAATTGGATCAAATCGGAAGTATCAGAAGAGAGGGGGAAAATATTTTGAGATTATTTCCAAAAACTTCTATCTTAGTTGGCTTAATAAACCACAGATGTGTGAATAGATCCATATAACAGAAATTTGATTACCGAGAGTACTACATACAGAAGCTATATTAAGGAAGTGAATTAGGAAATGAAAACGAATAAATGAGATAATGCAACATTGTTGGCAATCACCCTTGAGTCAAAGGAAACCCAGCATAGTTTTGCTAATGAGGTGGTTCTTAATAAACAGGTTAGGTTTTATGTAGTGGGGGAGGTAGATCGAGAGAGGAAATTCAAAATTTCCATCCCTCTTTTTCTTCCATCTTGCCTCTCCACTTTTACTTAGGCTTTTACTGCATATATATAAAAATCTGGGCAAAACATGTCTTACTTAAGTTTATAAGACATAATTAAAGAAAACATAAAGCAAATTCAGTCCTTCAGTGAAATTCATTGTTATGTTTATAAAATAAATAATGTAATTAGGTTTCTGTTGTGTAACATCTCATTAATGACATCCCAACATACCAGGTTTGTGACAGCTATTGAGGCTCCTGGGGCACAAACTCATCACTATGCAAAGTTTTCCCTTCCATTAAACTCTCAAATGCTCTGCACAAACATCTGAGCACTGTACTAGACTCTGAATTCATAGCAGCCACCCACAATAGAAAATTTTGTCTCAAAATACACACAATTTTCTTTTTTCACATAATAAAGCATGTATGTTTGTTTTAAATACCACATTGTTTTTACTAGCTTTAAATAATCAATGTGGTTATTTTCTTTTTTACACCAAGAGACAGTTCATACAGAAAGTAGTACAGTTTCAGTGATTCCATTAAAAAAAAATTGTGCAGTGTCACTTCAGACAAGGACAGACCATTTAAGTCTTATTCATATAGATGAGCCAGTGCCACGCCAGAGGGTGCCCTTGAAAAACACACACATTGCAAAGGACAATGATTATTAGGTACTGACACCCTTTTCATGTTTTTCAGATTTATTTCCATCCATTTTCACAGAGAAACTAATCCACTCAAGGTGAGGAGAGGCTAGATTTGCAGCACCACCATAAAGGAATATTCTTCACTCATGCCTTCCACAGCTGTTCCTGAGGCCTTTTTTCACCATGCCACCCCTCTTCAGGGTCCAGGGTAGGGAAAGGAGAAGGGGGAACAAGGGAGGTAGTTACCTTGCATAGCCAGAAGACAGAGACTTAAGAGCATCATAAAAATCCACCACAATTTCATTCAGTGGAAAGAGGTATTTTAGCATAACCCTGTTTTCATCAATGTACAGCATATCCTTCTGGACTGCCCTACGATCCTAGACAAATAAATATTGTTTCAGTTTCCCTTGAAATTTTCTACAAAAACATACAAAGCAAACTAAAATGAACAGCAGTCAAGCTATACAAGAGAATTCCTGTATTTATGCCCCAATGTAACTTTCTTATTGGTACTTTGCTGAAGTCTCAGGACAAATTGCACTGTAACAGATGAAGTGGTTATAACTAAACTAGACATACAACTCAAGCCTTTGCTCTCTAAAAGCTGAATTTCTGAAATCCTTAAGAGCATCTGCTTACTGCTGCCACAGTAGGACTTGCAGGCTCATCTTTCCTCCCAGGAGCACGTTCTTAAAGTTATTTTAGGAATTCTTTTTGATAGATTTTACTCCTTACTGTATTGACATACAAGTACTGTACTGCTTTGTATTATGCATTTTGGAATGTTATAAGCTAAGAAAAATATTATGAAGAAATAATATAAACACAATATGCATGGCATTAAAACATTAGAAGTATTCCAAATTCAGTTAGGCAAATGTGTTTGGCCACCACTATCCTAAATTTACTTTCAGCGAAGTACTGAAAAAAATACATGGATACATAGTCAGAAGTGTTGGCAGAAGTTGTGTTTCCATGAATATATTTCTAAAAAAACCAATATATCTTTTTCCCCTGCTGCAGACTTTTTATCAGTATTAAGTACTAATATCTATTATCATACTATCTAGTGTCTTCACTTCAAGTATGATGTGAAGAGCTTAAAAATGCAAAGAAAAAAATTAAAACTATATACCAACCTGACATAAGGTTATTATTTTCCCAATATACTCCTGAGGTGTTACAATAGTACCAAGAACAGTTGGCTCCAAATATTCTGATACTGAAAGTTTATCAGGAAACTGAGCAGGGTTGATAATAGTAATCTGGTCTTTTCCATACTCCTGAAAACAAGCAAATAAATCAGATATTGTAACTTTAGGAGTAAGTAAAATGAACAGCAAAGGAGACAAATATAGCATTGAAAAAATGCTAAAAAATGTTTCAGTTGCCTGAAAATAGTGGTGCATTATGCAACCCAAGTTTAAAACATGAATGATTTCAGAAGAGATTTCTGTAATACATATAGAAGTCCCTTATCAGCATATCCTTAAACATCATTATATAGAAATTAGCTTTTTACTTGGGAAATTATAGATATGAAAAAACCTTTCTATCCATCTTTCCAGGTCTCTTTCTCCCTTGTAAATTGAGGATCTTCCTTCTTACTTCATCCTGATCCTCTCAGTTACTATTACTGTGGATCAGGATGAAGTAAGAAGGAAGATCCTGAAGCTTCAACAGACCTGCTCTAAACACTTTAGAGTTCAGTGGTGGGGACTTTGTTCTCTAAGTAGAACTTTGGGTTCAAGCTGCCTCACATGCTGAAGTGGATTTAGAAATTAAGTTTTTGATTCCTATGTAAGTGCTTTCATTACCTACTTTTTCCAGTCCAACATCCCAGTAAGGGCTGGAGTTAACCTTCTGAGGTAAAAGGAAGGTTATGCTGCTTATTGTCTAAATGCAACTTCTCCTCCAAAGCAAGTGATTACATCATTTCCACTGACAAGGACCCAACTTCCAGTACTGTTTGAAAAGAATCCCCCATCAACAGTCCAGAATCACTTACACACCAAAGGTGTTGACTGCTTCATTCACAGCTGCTATACTGCCTGAGTAAAAAGCCAAAACAACCTGAGAGATAAAAGGTCTGTGCCTCACACCTTGTAAATAGAGCAACCTTTCTTATACAAGTTTTTAGTAATTTACAGAATAATCAGCCAGTCAACTTGCAGCCTCCTCTGTCACCAGATGCTCTAAGTCCATCTCTTTTTCTCTCTAAAACTCAAACACAGTAATACTATTTGCACCCAGTTTAATGAAGTTAGCACACACCCATTTAATTTTGATCAAAAGATCTCACTTTCCTTCACCAGCCCCTGTCAATCTACAGTATCATTACAAGCTATTCCTAGAAATGTTCATGTTTTCTGATGGATAAAGCCTGGAAGATTATTTCACCTGCTTTTAATGCAGTCCAGTCAGTAAGCACTTAAAATAATATAGCAAGGTATTTGCAAGGAAAAGTATATGACATAAAAAGAGAATGCTTGAAATGAAAGGGGAAAGAGCAGCTAACATCCTTTAAAAAAACTGAAAACTAGTCAAGTAATATATTGGCGTTTCTAATGCTTACTATAAAATACAGTACTAACCTATATTTAAAAAGAGACTCTAGATGCTTATTATAGGAAGCTTTTAAACTGCTATTTACATATTTTTTAAATGAATTTAACATACCTTTATCAACTTTGCTGAGGAAAGAACAGCTTTATATGGAACTGTAGGTGCAGTCAAAATAACAGACATGTTATACTCTTGCTCCAAACGTTGATTAAAGACTTCCATATGTAGAAGACCAAGGAAACCCAATCTGGAAAATAAATATCCTGTTGGTAAAAGTATTTGTGTACCCCCTGGAATTTCAAAGCAGTCTTTTTCACCCTCCAGCATGTTTACAGTGCTAGTATAGCAATATACAAACAACCTCCAAGGGACCAAATAACCCTACACTTGAATAATGTAAGTCTTGGAGAACAAAAACTACTAAGCACAAAAGTTTTCATGCTCTATGCAAACAGAGAATATGAGAAAATCAAATGCTTTTGATCTTTATCTATCATTAATTTGAATTACAGCTCCTAATTTTGAATTAAGTGTAATTCTACCTTCAGTTTGCTTAAACATGCATTCTCAACTTATCAACAGTTTCAAAAATGAAAGCAGCACGAAAACCTCACCTCCATCCAGCTCCTAAGGCAAGGCTACTGTCACGATGAACAGTTACACTGGAGTCATTCAATGTCAGCCTTTCCAAAGCACTTTTGAGATTATTATATTCTGTTTGATCTATTGGATACATTCCTGTCAAAATATAGTAAATAGAAGTGATGTGACAAAGAGCTTTAGCTACTGTGCATCCAGCTTTCAAATATGCCACTTACAGTTAACAGAGTAATAAAATCAAGAATTCTGCTCCATCTGTTTTAAAATGTGAAAAACAACATGAGGATTCTTTATTCCTCAAAGAAAAATTAGTCAAAACATAACAACGTTTTAGATTACCTCACACTTGACATCTAAACCATAATGGCAGGATCACTGTACTCATCTAATCCTTCACATTTATGGAGGAGTTGAGTATAATCACTGTTTTGCACTGTAAATGTATAGACTTCACAAGATGTTCCCTCAAAGCTAAGAGTGAGTGAAAAATAAAAAGCATGATTTCAAAGTTGTAAATACTTCTTTTTTCTTTTGAAATTAATAAAAATAGCTATTTGTATTACTACTGCCTGATATAGATTCTACTGTTTCACTTTTCTCATCCTTGTATGTTAAAAAAATGTCATCTACATCAAGAAGCAACACACATGCACACAAAACATTATTTACAAGATTACACTTTTCAACACTCACTGAGTCTCCATGAGACAGTTCAAATGAGTTTTACATACTGCTTCAAGTATGCTTTCAAGTCTAGAAAATTATTTACAGAATTTTCTTCTAAAATTTTTTTTTCTTCTGTAGCATGTGTAATAGTTACTGAAGCTAGTAGCAACAGCTCAATGGAACTATTTAAGCTCAAAAAGTCAAATATTTTACAGGATCATTCTGAATATTAGCTCTGGCAGTTTACCACATTTAACAAAAATGAAACAGCTGATAAGTTTTAAAAGAAGAAAAACCAACACATTACAAAAATACAGAAACCTGTATCAAGACAAAGAACTCCCTCTTGTTTTTGTTTTTTTCATTTCAACCCTTCTTGTCCAGCTATTAAGAGTTTACTGGCATTAGAAACAATAACCCCAGGCAAAAATATGTTTGTATTGTATTCATATAAAACCAGTCAGCTTTATTATTAATCCTGTTACGTCACAGGGAAAACACACAAATCTACATAAGTGACACACCTTGGCTAAAATTATAATCCTCTCAACTCTTAATATACATGTCTTCTTTTAAAAGCTCTAACAGCTCTTACTCTTGTCACTAAAAAAAATGTAGCTCCACTTTATATTGATTTACTCCTCACCTGCAAAAACCATTGGCTTCGCTGACTTAAAGCCAGGCAAAGGCTCCACTGGCTGTTTATACAAAAACAGTGTGTCTCCTATTTGGGCTTCCGTTACTTCTTTCATTCCAGCAATCAGGTACCCCACCTGTCCTGCATAGCTAAATAAAATTGTTATTATATGGACATGATTGTTGGCATTAGCAGTATTTCTACTATCTTCCTACTTGATTTAGCCCAGCCAGAAATTCAAATAAATCACCCCCTTAAAAGCCCAGATCCAAAGCCCAGAAGGGAGATTTGTTTCACCTCTGAGTTGTGAACACTCTCAACTAGTTCTGTTTCTGTTACAGCTGAACAGTACATTTATGATCCTAGATTTTTAATACTGTGTTGCTCCCAGTCTAAAAGCTGGAGCTAGACCCTTGAGACGCTCCTAAGACAAAGAAATCAGAATAGTTCCCAGCTGCCAGCACAGCAAGTCTCATACACCACTAGACAAATACTTTCCATCAGCATATTATGCTAACAGGAGGGGAATACATGGTAAATACTGAATAAAACATAGCGTACTGGTTTTGGCTGGGATGGAGTAACTTTCTTCAAAGCAGCCCTGCATGAAGCAGCGTTTTGGAACTGTGACTAAAACAAGTGCTGATAACATACCAATGTTCAGGTATTGCTGAACAGGCCCTCTCAGTTTCTCACTGTGCCTCTGCAAGCAAACAGATGGGGTTGGGCAAGAGACTGGGAGGTGACACAGCCAGGACACCAGACCCAGAAGGGCATTCCATACCACAGAACATCATGCTTAGCAATAAAAAAGAAGTGTAGTCTTTCCAAGGTAGCTTTTACTTGTAGACTAGCAGGACATCAGTCTGCTTGAGGGAGGTGGTGAATAATGGACTGTCTTTGCATCACTTATTTCTTTTTTTTTCTCCATTTATTAAACTGTCTTTATCTCAATCCACAAGTACTTTCTCAATTCTCATCCTGCTAGGGTTGGGGGAGTGAGGAAGGGGCTGGCTGGGTTGGTGACTGTTCAACCCACCAGACACAGTAATATAATCTGAGAATGCCCTCAGTAAAGTCAGTAACATGTATTTGGACGCAAACTGGTAAAACTTCTCCACTACTTCTAAGTACCTGATTTTCTTCCCACTGCTGCCATTGAGAAGCCAGTTTCTGGAAGCTTTTGCATTCATGGACTTTAAGTTTTCCACCCTCAAAATATGCTGCAGCAATAACTAAGATGAAGCCCCATTCCCTTCCACTTTCAAACAAGGCAGTTCCTAGAAATAAATTGGACAGCTGAATAAGAATATCGAACATGGGCCTTTAAACACTTAGCTGTCCAGATGCTCCATGTACTACAGAAGATAATGGAATCCTCCCACAGCAATGCCCAAAAACCACTCCCGAAAACCTTCTGCCTCAGCATGCCCAAAATAAATAATTACACAGAGCATTAAATTGCAAATAGTAAGTATAAAAAAACCCACCACCAAAGAACAAGAACAAACCTAGACATCTCCAAGTTTTTACCTCTCAAAGCAAAAATCAAACAGAAATGCAGGATATTGTAGCTTACCCCAATATATGATTTGTTTCACTGTAAGAAGTTTTTACTTACAGCTTATGTGTTGGTTGTTCATTTGGAGTCAGAATTCCGACTTCATTAACTTCGTATCTTTTCTTTGTGTGTGCAGACACAATTTTCTGTCCTTTTGTAATCTCCCCACCAAAGAGCGCAATGTTAGCGATGACACCTCGGTAGTGGTCAAAGGTAGAGTCAAATACTAAGGCTTTCAATGGATCAGCAGTATTACATTGAGGTCTGTCACCAAAAAAAATTAAGGCAATATATTATGCAGTGTGTTTCCATTCAGTATTGAATGAGCAAGCATGCCCACCCCAAACACTTTCATAGAATCATACCAGGTTGGAAGGGATTTCAAGGATCACCTGATCCAACTTCCCTTGGCAAAATCACAGGCTTAACAATATGGCCCAGCACCCTACTCGAACAAACCAGAGAGTATCCAACACTGGGGAAGCCACCACTTTCCTGGAGAGATGAGTCCAATGGCTCTTTGTAGCTATTGTTTAAATATCAGAACATGGCAAAAGGTCTCCCTTAAGCCTTCTTTTCTCAAGGCCAAACATTTCCAGTTTTCTCAGCCTTTCCTCAAAGGGCAGGCTGCCCAGTCTTACGATCATTTCTGTGGCTCTTCTGTGGCCCCTCTCCAGTCTGTTCACGTTTTCTGCATAGCAGGGACCAAAACTGAACACCAGTATCCCAAGTGGACCAACCACCACTGAGCAGAGTGGGATAACGAGTTCTTAATTTCTGCTGGTGATGTCCTTGTTGAGGCAACCCAGCATGTTATTGTCTTTCTTTGCTGCAGCAGCACACTGTTCGCTCACATTGACTTGACCTCTGGGTCCATTTCCACAGAGCCGCTCCCCAGCTAGGTAGATTCCAGTCTGTGCTGCATTCATGAATTACATATTCCTAGATGCACTACCTTTGCCTTTGTTGAATTTCATAAGGTTCTTGTTAGCCAACTCTTCCAGCCTATCTAGGTCTTCCTGCAAAGTAGCTCTGCTTTTGTGAATTGTCTACTTCCCCTCTCAGTTTGGTATTGCTGGCAAACTTCATTAAGGTACACATCCCAACTTCCAGATAATTTATGATAATTATTGAGCCCAATACTGATCCCTGGCAGACCCTACTTGTGGCCAGTCTGAAAAGGACTATTTACCACACTCTGGGTGCAGCCTGTCAGACAGTTCCCTACCCACAACACAGACCACTCCAGACTCCAGTGGTTTCTCCAGGAATCTGTGAGAAACCTTATAAAAAACCTTAAAGATCCAGGTATAGAGAAAGCCAGGTAGCCAGTGTCTACCACTCCCACCACACAGCAGGTTACTCTGCTGTAGAAGGTGATCAGGTTTGTCAAGCATGATACACTCTTGGCGAATCCCTGCTCGCTTTTCCCAATTATTTACTTCATCTGACTTGTGGCAGCCCCCAGGAAGATTTGTTCTATATCATTTTCAGGGACTGTAGTAAGACTGATGGGCCTATAAATTCCTGGATCCGCCTTTAAGCTCTTCTTGTAAATTGGACATTAACATTCCTCTACTCTTCTGAGATGTCCCCTTATCTGCATGACTTCTCAAAGATTACAAAGAGCTTTGCAAGAACACAGCCAGCTCTCCTACAATCCTCACGTGGATACTATCAGAGCTCATGCATGTGTAGGGGTCAGGCTCCTGTAATAGTTCACATACCCACTCCTTCTTTGCTGACAGTGGGTCTGTGCATCAACCTGCATTTTTGCTCCCCAGGCCTAAAGCTCAACAGTGCTGGTAAAGACAGAGGTGAAGAAAACGTTCCTCTGCTTTTCAACCTCACTACTGATCAATTCACCTCTCCTGTTTAAGTACAAGTCACTATTTTCCTTCTATTTCTCCTATATCTCTCTATAAAGTATTTTCTCTAAATCGGATGCATATTAAGTGTAAAACTGCTGACAATACCATATAAATGTAATGTATAATTTCCTAATTACCTTATAAGGTTAATTAGATACATAATTAAATACAGACTTACGGTGGGATCTTCTCAATAACCTTTTGAAGAACTTTTTCAACATTTGTTCCTTGTTTAGCAGAAATCTAAAACAAATCCAACAACAATTTTATAAGTCTTACACCTGTTAATTAAATAGTGTCATGTTTACTTGGACAGTTTTGGTGGCCACCCATTTTATGAGTGGCAGTAGCCATAAAAGTACTCAAAAGGACACTCTAGAATGCTATTACTAAATAATGGTTCTTGGATTGTAAATTATACTGTTGGTGGTTTTTTTGTGAATGGTAATTATTGTTATGATAGAAACAAAAACGATTTACGGACTGACAGTGAGAAATAATTTAAAATCTCAGATTCCATTCCTCAAAAAATACTAGCATTTTTAGCTGAAAGCTAATTTTCTCCACTTTTACAGGAGAAAAGCTTTAAAGAAATTCTTATGTCAGACAAAAATAGGAGGACAGAGAGCACTTAATCATGTCACTCATTAGTTACAAAGTAGATATATTATCAGCCATATTATAAAACTTTGAGATCTTACCCTTATACATTCATCTGTAGGGATATCAAACAGCTTCTCAATTTGTTTTTCAACTCTTTCAGGGTCTGCATTTTTCAAGTCTATCTGCAAAATAACAAACTGCTAAATATAAAAGCAATCACATCTCCCACATCATCCAGTACTGTATCTTTCAAAAGTACAACAAAGAACCTTCATGTATTTATGAGTAAATACCGTGTCTTTAGGAAAACACCTTTCTACAAGAGCTGGTAAAAATCTTTGAAATCATTAAGAGCTACCTACACTGTTTATAGGAACAAATATTAATATAAATTACAATATAAATCTACAAAAAGCAATTAACATAAGGCTGAGCAGTAATTAATCTTCTGATTCCAATAACACAGCCCTCAAAATTGTACAGAAAATAACACTTAGAATTCCATTTAAATTTTACTCTGCTTTTTAAATATTGAGTTCCTACTCATGTCATTTCCTCAATATTTAACATCACCAATTCCAAACATAAACCCTGTGCTGCAAAGTCCACCACTAAGCATCTTCTGAAGTGCTACATTTTTAAAATACCTAAATGTATTTCATTAAATTAAAAATTTCGCAGAGTTACTGTAAATTTTTACACAGGCAGCAAATACAGAAAATTCCTATTACATTCTAATAATGTTATATCTAAATCCTATAAATATTATAATAAAGAACTTACTTTGTTATATAATTATCTTCAAGGTTACATTTCTGATCAGCACTATACACATTTAAACAACCCAAGTATTTAACAGAAAACACTAAAAACTTTATTACCTTATTTATGACAGGAATTATTGAAAGCTGTGCTTCAAAGGCAAGATAGAAGTTTGCTACTGTCTGAGCCTGAATACCCTAGAAAATAACATTTTAAAGTTTAACACAGAAACTTCCTCAGTTTTGGTGTGATTTTGGGGAGTATTTTAAGGCATACTATACAATTCAAGGTTACTTTGCTATTCTATCAACTCTTTCATTTAGGAGATGGATAAATAAAAGGTGACTGACTACATGCAACTACTTTAAAATCCCATTACTCTTTTTCTGCAACATAATACGTTCATGGAGATAGACCAGGGGCAAAAACACTGCCAGAAAAACTAAAAAAACCCACAACCTAGTTTCCCTCTAGCTTAAGGAAATCCTGAAATACTAAATAGAAAACAAGAATGAAGTACTACACCTCATTTGCATCCACTACAAGTATGACACCTTGACAGGCAGATAGTGACCGTGATACTTCATAGCTGAAATCTACATGGCCCTATGGAGAAAACAAATGTTCACAATTTCAGGTATTTTTGCAAAGATTTCTGTACTACGTTGTTTTCATTTGTATATACGTTCTCATTCTTATAAAAGAGGAATTGAATAAACACAAGAAGCCATAAATCTCCACTTTCAACTATAAAGACATTAAGATTTGTGTGATTTCAACACTGTTTACATTTAACTTACAGGCGTGTCAATAAGATTTAAGAGGTAGTTTATTCCTTCATGACCGTAAAACAGAGATGCAGATTGTGCTTTAACTGTAATTCCTCTTTCACGTTCCACCTGAAGTTTATCCAGCACTTGTTTATTACGGTCAGTTTTAGAAATTGTTCCTAAAAATAAGAAAAGAAAAAAAGATTTATTTACTACATATATCTTGTAAATGCATTTAACCAAGAGTTAACCAAGAGCTAATGACGCTTTTCCATACAATTAAGCTAAACTAAAATTTTCAAGCAAAAACAAAACTGTACATCAACTCTTTACATTTGTCAAATAAAGTTTACACAATAAAGTTACACAAAATACTATCCTGAATAAGCAGGATAGAAAACATCATCTAAGAGATTAAGAAGAAACAAACACTCCATTCAGTTGTAAGTAATTTTGACATTTAAGGAAACTTCACCTATCACTGCAGAGGAGTGGCCTACAGCTCTAAAATCAATCTCAACTGCAAGATGAGCATCAGCATAGAGTGACAGACCTGAATTCAAAACCCCATTCCATCATAGGCATCAAAAAAAAGTGCTCACAGTGATACATGGCAGGTAATCATAAAAAATAACTTTGATCAAAAGCTTCCCTCCCTGGTTTTGTTTCATTCACCCTTAAATGAGAGTCCAGAACTCCCAGGTCATGACATTACTGTCCTTCTGTCCACCTCAACCACTGGCAGTAAACATCATAAATTGGAATGGCTGGACTGACATCTTGCACAAGGAAGTAAACTCCTTTTCAGTCTTGTGACAATTGATAAAAGATTCGTGTTAATCACAAAAGCATTGGGCTTTGCATAAACCAGAATGCTAAGCTCTGAAGTGAAGCATGGACACTAGATAAAGGAAATTATATGATTAAATAATTCTGTTTAAAATCACCTTGTTATGTTAAATTATGTTGTACTATGTTACATTACTTTATATTATATTATGTTTTTTAAGTAAGTTGTATCGGCTACCAGCTTACGAAATCGGACTTCCCAAAAAGCCCTTCCTACCTTTGTCTAATCAATACTGCTTATCCCAAAAACCAGACTCCCAGAACTTCTCTGGTGGTTATCTACAAAGACCAGACCTCCAGAACTTCCCTGGTGGTCATCTACAAGGACCGGATGGCAATCTGTGACTGATTATCACCCAAAGGCTTTGTGAATTTGTGAACAACGAGAACCCACAGTATAAGAAGAGGCTGCAAACCAAGGTTCCGGGGAGCGTGGAGTGGGCGATGACCCCTCACGTTCCCCAGCGCGCTGCTTGCATTTCTGTATCAAATAAAGCAATCTAAATTTTGCTGAATATCGAGACTTTTTTCTCTCATTTATAACAGTCTCCTTCCAAAATAGGTACTTCTTTAAATTAATTACACACTTCCTTACACGTACATGTAGGCAGGCCTCAACCACAAAGTCCATATATCTGTAACACTACACAACTGAGAGCCTAAAAGCAAAAGCAACACTAGAAGAGCAAAAATATTAGAAATCTTAGTAATCAAAGGTACAGAAACTTAAGATGCCACCTTCCATGTCAAGAAAAGGCAGTATAAAATGAGAATGCTTACCTGTAATTTCCAGCAATCTGTCTGCTAGTGTACTTTTGCCATGATCTACATGAGCTATAATACTGAAGTTTCTAATGCTTTCAACAGGATACATCGACATATCTAATTTTTCCTGAAAAACAGGAATTTCTTTTCATAAATCATGGTTACAGTTTCTATATACAATATGACTGCTTTAAAATAACAAATTAGTTATTTTAATTAATTTTTCACCAGAAGAAGCACAAGTTGAACAGACATACAAGAACTTAAATTGTCACCACTGTTTAAAATGCCAGTATTTCACTTTAGTCATACCGACATATTTTTTTAATCTTTAAAAAATCATGAAGTATGCTGGAAAGTGTGTCAAAGGTACTATGTCCTTATATAAACAGGGAGCTGGAAAGTTTTGTTTTACAGTTTCATGTTTGTGAAACTACTAAACTTAAGGATTAAGAAAATTGGATTCAGGGGGCCATTAAGGACATTATTCTTCACAAGCATGATATGAATAAAGAGCCATTACCTAAGAGACTCAGGTGGCAGTGACCTTATCATAAGGAGCAAGCGGACTGTGAAAAGAATGCTACAGTTAACAATTATCTTGGCTAAATTTTTAAAAATGCAGAAAACTAGCCTGACATAGAAAGGTTCAACACTAATGAACTTTTGTTTTTGTTATTCATGCTCATTCATAGTAATAAGATATTTTGAAGAAAAGTGGCTTCCTTGCTTTTCAAAGCTTTGAGCTTCAGGAACCAGGAGACCCCTTAGAGCAATCAGCAACACTTTCCTGAAAAACTCTGGCCACCAATGCTAGCAACACACAGATCTCATCTCTCTAATTCGGGCTCTGGACACAGCTCTGGGCCAGCAAGGAATTAGTAAACCTGGTGTTCTTTGCTAGCATCAGTACATAGCATTCATTAGCGTTTTCTGCCAATCCCTCATAGGTGTCTCGGCTTGGAAAAGCAGGATCTGCTTTAGCCACAGGGAGACAAGGCCCCGGAGCAGGAAATTCCTACTCCGGGAAGAGTGTTGTGCCAACACAGATTCTTCCACACAGGGTGCAAGACGCCAATTCACACACAAAGTCAAAGTACTTGATTTATTTATTGTTCTGTGCAGACAGGGGGACTGGGTGGAAAATCCACAAAGCCAGCAAACAATCAAGAGTTCATACTATTTATACATTTTAGCAAACAAAGGCATTAATGTTCACTGCCTAGAAGTTACATAGTTGTCTTAGTAATTAATATTCTATTGGTTAAAAGATTCCCTCACTTCTTATGCTAGGTAGCCGGCATAGTCTCTTTCTCTTGAGTCGTTGCGTTTCTTGGGTCTCTGATTGCGATCTCCCCTTGCCAGAATTACCTTTTTTCAGAGCCCATTTCAGCACACTTGCTGAGTTGGCTTTGCTAGTTCCATCCCTAACCTGGGAGTTCTGTCAAATGGCCCGTGAATTCTGCATTCTCTGTACCCACTACCAGCAGCACACTCCTTTGTTAACCTGCCCCTAGAACTGAGACACGCCAAGCCCTGAACCCCAGCAAGGCAATTCTCCCAAGGAGTGGCGTGTCGCTCTCGCACCCGGCCGGCACCGTGGGCTGCCTGCAGAGGCGGCACAGGCAGCAGGCCGGCCCCGGGGGCGGCCCGGGCGGCGGGGCTCGCTCACCTCGCTCACTCACTCACTCACCGTGCCGCGGGAGCTGTAGGGCCGCTCGCACCTCACCGCGGGCAGCCAGCCCGGGCGGCAGAGCGGGCCGGCGGCGGGGCAGGGGATCGGCAGCCGTGGCCCCCAGCGCAGCGCCGCCCGGCCGGCGAGGGCCATGCCGCTGGCAGCAGCCCCGCTCAGCCCAGCCCCGCTCAGCCCAGCCCCGCTCAGCCCAGCCCCGCTCAGCCCAGCCCCGCTCAGCGCAGGGGCCACGGGCGCCCCGGAAGGGCCGGGCCGGAGGCGGCGGCCGCGCTGTGACGGGGCGGAAGCGCTGAGGGGAGCGGTCGGAGCGTGCGGCGCTGCTGCCGCGAAATGTTGCTGTAGTGGCATTACAAACGGGTTTATTGCGTGGCATCTGTGGCTGTTGTGGCCGTCAAAGCTCTACTTTGTTAAATTCTGGTTTAATTTCTGGATGAATGTTGTCGTTTTCTCAGATACGTTTTCCGTGTGTTCCTCTCCATCACAGTGTTTGCGCGTGTTCCAGATATTTTTCTGGCTTGTATCTTTCCTAGGTTAGCGTTTATTAGTGCTCCTCTGTTTTTCCTTGAATTTTTTGCATTAGGGTTTCACAGACCTGGGAAAACATACAGGCAAGGGTCGCTGCTCTGTTTACATATATTGACTCCTCCTTTCTCTTTTGTTCAATCTAATTAAGATTTCAGCTGTAGCTATGTAAAATATTTCAGAAATGCCAGCAGACCACTTAGCTAAGAAAACTGCAAATATTTAATCATGTTTGCAATCTAGAGATGTGCCAAATAATGCAAGACAGTAAATTTTGAGGGCAAAGTCATTTAAAGGAGGTTTAATTTCGGGATACCAGTATGAAATTCATACTCCTTTTTAAGTTAGAAGGATTTGGTCTCAAAAGGCTGCATAAAAGTGATAGGTACTGCAGACAACACGTGTTCCATGTAAAATGACTTTGGATTGTGCAGTAATAGATTTGCTAATACAGTTCACTGCTGGGCTGATCTCATGGAATTTGGGTAGTAATGGACAAAGATAATCCTTTGCCAAATTCATGAGAACGTATAGAGAAGAAGTATGTCCTTGAATGATGAATGAATGTAACAGGAACCAAGAATCCAAAGCCATGATCCAGAGCAGGCATATGAGTATAGCAGCTGTGTTTGGAGGAAAACATCGTCCCTGCTACACACACATTAAGGTTGATCCACTGTAGGTATTGAAATAACTGTGTGCAATAGCAGAGAACAAATATACATAGCAATCCTGTCATTGCTAAAGGGATAATGGTCTTCACTGTCCTAAGGTACATGAATATCAAGAAATCTAAGAAAGTCCTCTATTATCAGGAATTAAACTAATATGCTTTACATACTATATTAAAGAGAGAGCACCCTCTTGCTCTGAGCAATTTATATAGATGGCAGATTTCAGCAATTCCAGAAGAACAGCAGCAGGGGTAGCTAAACCCCACGTTCACACCACAAAGACGTGTAGGAACGTGCAAAATCACATAGTCTCAAAAATAACTGAAAAAGCATAATTCGAACCAAAGAGGTTGCACTTGCACTCCATATCTACACCCTCGATAACAAAGACTTGTGTTTGTACCACATGCACACTCAGCTGGCTGGATTCAAGGAGCTGTGCTGGAGTAACTGAATGAGCTCATGTGCTGCATCTTCATCCTGGAACTTGTTCTTGTCCTGTTGTCATCGAGTGAACACCTATGTTGTGACTGCTGGTCCGTGCAGAGAGACAGCAGTCCTGAATGTAATGCTATTTGCAGGTCCATGTATTTTAGAGTTCTGAGATAAAGGAAGAAAAACTGGAATAGAACTGCATTTCAAGCATGAATCCTAATCATATGAACAAAAATTATTAACTAGAATTTCAGATTGGAGGTCCATCATAAGCCAGGATAGAGCACAGTAAAAATTACAGTCATCTGTCTTTATTTTCACTTTTCAGCTCAGGTGAATATATGAATCAAATGCTAAGGTTTTTGATCAATTTGAGCTCTATATGCAATGGAACATGTTCACTGGAAATATTATAGGAAGATGTGCAGTTCAGCAGAATAATAAATATTAAAGTGTTTATGGGACAGCAAGCCAGAAGCAAGAAACATTAATTTTCAAGTGATCATTTACATGTCAAAATGTGTGTGGATGCACACATTTCCTGAACTTGAAAAGCCGTTTGTAATGAGGATAAATTAAATGTACCTGTCACTAACTGCATTTACTAATACTGAAGCCAAATATATAAATGGTGAATTCAGATATTTACAGATTCGTGGCTGAAAATGTGAAAACAAAGTACAAACACGAATTTCTTGTCTGATTCCCAAGTATCTTGTTTCAACTATACTTGAATGCAGGTGTTGCATGTCCTATCAATAATCGTTTGAGTTGAAGATATAATGTGATTGCCATAATGTGATTGCCATAATGTGATTGCCATAAATGCAAACCAGTCAATGTTACATGTTATTTCCTGGCAGTTGTGTTCAACAGAAACAAGTATGATCCCTCATTGACATGTTTTCATAGCCTGAGTTTTAACAGGAATTGTGTTTTCCCATAAAGTGAAAAGATTGCAAAATTAAGCATTTACCGAGTCAGGGATCAGAGTCATCTGCTAAATTTCTATGACGGTCACACAGGGTAAAAGGTAAAGAAGCGTTTCCATGATAGTGAAGTATGAGATGATAAAATGCAGCTAGGATTTCATATTGTAATATATATATATGCATGCAGAAGGACAAACAGATCCATAATCAGTGGTATCTGTGAAACACAGCAGACACTGCACCACTTTCTACTCAATCATCAGTGCACCTCATTTGGCAGCAATCATTGGTAGCATTGTGAGATTATGGAAATGCAGAAATAAGAACAAAGCAGCATTCAATAGATGTAGTAAGGGAAAAAAAAAAGATTATTTCTTTATTTCATTGGTGAGGATTTCTGTAACAGAACAGATTTCTATTCTCCACAAGTACTGTGCGAATGAAATAGCTGTGACAAAAGTCTTTCTTGTCACTGGGTGGCACTGCTGCCAGCAGATGCTAAAAGGGAATCACTACCTAAAAGACAACGTTGGCAGAAATTTCCCCATCTGTAAAATACACTCTCTTAAGCCAAATTCAAAGACCTTATATTGCACAGTAATGACCTGAATTAAAAGGACAAAGTTTACCCTGAAAAGAACTTGAAATATTACACTAAACACTGTACAGGACAAGTCACTAACATTTGTCTTCTAAATAAATGTCTATGTGGTAGCGAGGTGCCTGATCAGACACCTTAATTAACTAACCTGGTCTGCCAGTATTTTAACTGGAGTAGTCACTCAGTTTTCCTCGGGGTATTTGAGTTTGACAGGCCCGTGTTGTTCTTGGGAGGACAAAATCTAGCAATTCCTTTTCCTTTCTTCCTTTCTTTTCTTCCTTTCTTTTTTCTTCCTTTTTTGTCATGAAAAAGCATCCTGTACAATATCCGCACTTCCTGTTGTATCTGCTCTACACCTTTCTTAACCAAAGTAATGATGGACAAAGGGGCAGCAGTGACTGGAGTTAGTATTTTGCCTCTTAGGACAGATTGACATTTTGGAGTTGTTCCTTGACACTAACTTGTCAGGTTGCTGCAATATATCAAGTTATTCTCTAATTGTGCTTGAAAATGCAGTTTAATCCTCTATTTCTTGGCACTTCATGATGCTGATTGCTGAATATTTCTGTTGTAGCCAAGCTGACAAAAGTAGCAGACACATATATACTTCTTGCCTTAAAAATAAAGCAGAAAAGGTAGTTAGCATCTTCCTGTCTAATCTTCAAAAATCACAGCAGAAACTGAGTGAAACTGCAGTGTTTTAGTTTGTGAAAGAAAGCATCTGTGATTATTGATGTCTGTCTAATGAAAATACTGCATCTTTTATTGTTTCTATAAATTATGACAAACTGCATGTTTCTAGGCTATAGCCTACAGAGGAAGATGAATATATAGTGAAATACATAACAGAATATTTTTCTTTATATTGGAAACTTTCTTCATTTAAGAGATATGTTTTCTATATTCTACTTACCAGAAAGACAATATCTTAGAATTATATTCTGTTTACTTCCTTGGGCTCGTATTCTGTTCCCTTCTGTTTTCCTTTGAGTGTCTTGGGAAAACTCAGACTGCTGTTTTCCCTGACTCTCAGCAGCATCCACAATGATGTTAAATTCAAAGAGGGCTAATGTATGGTGGTGAAACACTGGAACAGGTCAGCCAGAGAGATGGTAGATGCCCCCTCCTTGGAAACATTCAACCCAGGCTCAACAAGGCTCTGAACAGCCAGACCTAGTTGAAGATGTCACTACTAATTGTAGGAAGGTTGGAGGAGATGACCTTTAAAGGTGCCTTCCAACCCAAACTATTCTATGATCTCATTACTTTAACAAACAACATGTTGAGAAAAATGTTTTTTTTTTCTTTCTAGTGAAATAGTGTTTTTATAGAAATATAGTATTTTTAAATGTATTTTCACCCTTCTATTATCCAGCTAGTTTTATTGAGAATGTTCTAAATCTTAGAAGATACTTTGTAAGGAATATATTACAGCATTCTGAAATGAAAAAGCCTAAAGTTAATGAAGTAAATTGAAATCATCCAGAGTTCATTCTAGACATTTCAAAATACTCAAAAAAACATCATATGGCTCTAGACAGAAGGAAAAAAAGTCCTTCATGTTTCACCTGCACTTAGTAAGAGTTTCTAGTACTTTCTGGATTTAATTCTTCTCTGCACT